AAGCTTTCGATTGATACCCATTTTTACTTTAGCGCCCCGTTTTTGGCCGTACAAGGGCGAATTTACGGATTTTTTACGAGTTTACGGGGCTTTAAGGGCTTTAAACGTCAATGCAACGGGGACCGTTTTGGGGAAAGTTTCTCGGCTGGTGGTGGGGCACCTGTGTGCCGATTTTGAACGAAATCGGGGGGGACCCCCCATTGACCCGAAATTTTGATTTTCCCGTAAAAACTTTCCTATGGGGAAAAAGTGGAATTTTCCTGCAGGACTGTGTCTGGGTAAACGAGAGCTTTCGATTGATACCCATTTTTAATAATAATAATAATAATAATAATAATCCATTTATTTCGCACCGATATTTCACGGTACATATTCAACACATAACAATACACACCAACACAACACACGAACATGCAGACATAGCACAGCTACGTTTTACCCATCAAGTCAGGCATCTAAGTCATTACATCTAGGTGGTCCCGCCTTGGTCCCGCCTCATCATGCGTTCATTGACTATACGCTCAATGTTCGACATAAATATGTTTTGTAAGTCAAATGGAGTTATGACACTGAAATCCAAGCCTAGTAGGTCGTAGCGTCTCCGTATTGCGAGGCTAGCTTTCGCAGATAATCCATTACGGCCTATTACACTATTTCTAATACACTGGACAATACCATTACTGCTTTGATTGATGCGACGGTGAAACATGAGCTGTCTTTTAGCTAGAAGCATAGGACAAGTAAGTAATTTGACTCGATGACACAGTTCATGATTTCTGGTTCCAAGGGGCAAATTCATAAGCTTTTTAATACACCGATGATACGCTACATGCATTTCACGAAGAGATCTCTGATTGGTATCAACATTCCATAGTTCACATCCATACATATGTGTACAGTATGACTTAAATAATTTTATAAGTAAACTCTTATTAGCATGCCTGAGCTTTGCATAAAGCATGTTGGTCATATAGTACATTGAGCGCTTTACCCTTCGAATATCGGGCACATCACATAAGTCATTAGAAATGATATGGCCAAGGTATTTAAATTGACTGACCCATTTCAGATTCTCACCACACAGTGCGATTTTTGGCTCCTTAGAGTTCATTAAATGACTAGCTTTATAAGGCTTCCTAGGGTTAAAAACCATGCACACAGTTTTTTGCACATTAAACCTTATTGAGTAGTAATAGACAAATATATATATTGAGACGGGTTACACAGCACATTGGGTGGACGCGTTTCGTCTAAATGACTTGTGTTTGTATTGTTTTAATTTCCGAGAGGGTGTCGAAAAAGTCATTTAGACGAAACGCGTCCACCCAATGTGCTGTGTAACCCGTCTCAATATATATTAAACCTTATATCTCTGGACACAGCAAAACATTCGCACTGATCCACCAGAGTCTGAAGCCCTTGTCTGGTGGGGGATAGAAGCACTATATCATCCGCATAGGCGATGACATTGACGGCACAATCGCCAACAAAACATCCAGTTCGAAGAGAACGCAACTTAATCAACAGATCATCAATATATACATTGAACAGCAATGGGGAGAGGTTTCCGCCCTGCCTTACACCATTCTGGATGGAAAATGACACTGATTCCCTACTGGCCCATTTGACACTCATTCTCTGATGCCCGTACCAGTGAATAAGAAGTTTCAAATATATTGGGGGAACTTTTCGTTGATCAAGTATCTTAAAAAGCGTGGCATGACACACTCTGTCAAACGCCTTACTCGCATCTAAGAAGGACACATACACCGAACTGCCTCGCTCTGTGTAATAGTTCACTGTCTCTTTAAATGCATAAACAGCATGAGATGTCGAATGGCCATCCTTGAATCCAAATTGGGATTCACATGTCTTTAAGAAGGGAGCTAGCTTTTCAACCAGAATAAGTTCTAACACCTTTGATATGGTTGTCGATAGGGCTATAGCCCTATAATTTGATTTGTCGTCCAACGCACCATTCTTATTCTTGACAATGGGGACTAACAAAGAATAAATTAGGCTGTCAGGAAGCACACAATGATTTAGCATGCAATTGAACAAATGTGCCAAAAGACATGGCAAAGATTCTGCATGTAGATGTAGCAGGTGGTCAGCAGACACCCCATCATGTCCAGCTGTTTTCCCACTTTTCAGCTGACGAAGAGCAGAAAGCACGTCTTCATCAGTTATTGGTGATGTCATATTAGCCCTACCAGATGGTAGGTCAGCGATGACAGCAAATTTTTTACCTAGCAAATTTTTACCCTAGCGCCCCGTTTTTGGCCGTACAAGGGCGAATTTACGGATTTTTTACGAGTTTACGGGGCTTTAAGGGCCTTAAACGTCAATGCAACGGGGACCGTTTTGGGGAAAGTTTCTCGGCTGGTGGTGGGGCACCTGTGTGCCGATTTTGAACGAAATCGGGGGGGACCCCCCATTGACCCGAAATTTTGATTTTCCCGTAAAAACTTTCCTATGGGGAAAAAGTGGAATTTTCCTGCAGGACTGTGTCTGGGTAAACGAGAGCTTTCGATTGATACCCATTTTTACCCTAGCGCCCCGTTTTTGGCCGTACAAGGGCGAATTTACGGATTTTTTTACGAGTTTACGGGGCTTTAAGGGCCTTAAACGTCAATGCAACGGGGACCGTTTTGGGGAAAGTTTCTCGGCTGGTGGTGGGGCACCTGTGTGCCGATTTTGAACGAAATCGGGGGGGACCCCCCATTGACCCAAAATTTTGATTTTCCCGTAAAAACTTTCCTATGGGAAAAAAGTGGAATTTTCCTGCAGGACTGTGTCTGGGTAAACGAGAGCTTTCGATTGATACCCATTTTTACCATAGCACCACTTTTTTGTCCGTACAAAGGCGATTTTACGGATATTTTACGAGTCTAGGGGGCTTTACGGGCCTTAAACGTCAATGCAACGGGGACCGTTTTGGGGAAAGTTTCTCGGCTGGTGGTGGGGCACCTGTGTGCCGATTTTGAACGAAATCGGGGGGGACCCCCCATTGACCCGAAATTTTGATTTTCCTGTAAAAACTTTCCTATGGGGAAAAAGTGGAATTTTCCTGCAGGACTGTGCCTGGGTAAACGAGAGCTTTCGATTGATACCCATTTTTACCCTAGCGCCCCGTTTTTGGCCGTACAAGGGCGAATTTACGGATTTTTTACGAGTTTACGGGGCTTTAAGGGCCTTAAACGTCAATGCAACGGGGACCGTTTTGGGGAAAGTTTCTCGGCTGGTGGTGGGGCAGCTGTGTGCCGATTTTGAACGAAATCGGGGGGGACCCCCCATTGACCCGAAATTTTGATTTTCCCGTAAAAACTTTCCTATGGGGAAAAAGTGGATTTTTCCTGCAGGACTGTGTCTGGGTAAACGAGAGCTTTCGATTGATACCCATTTTTACCCTAGCGCCCCGTTTTTGGCCGTACAAGGGCGAATTTACGGATTTTTTTACGAGTTTACGGGGCTTTAAGGGCCTTAAACGTCAATGCAACGGGGACCGTTTTTTTGGGAAAGTTTCTCGGCTGGTGGTGGGGCACCTGTGTGCCGATTTTGAACGAAATCGGGGGGGACCCCCCATTGACCCGAAATTTTGATTTTCCTGTAAAAACTTTCCTATGGGGAAAAAGTGGAATTTTCCTGCAGGACTGTGCCTGGGTAAACGAGAGCTTTCGATTGATACCCATTTTTACCCTAGCGCCCCGTTTTTGGCCGTACAAGGGCGAATTTACGGATTTTTTACGAGTTTACGGGGCTTTAAGGGCCTTAAACGTCAATGCAACGGGGACCGTTTTGGGGAAAGTTTCTCGGCTGGTGGTGGGGCACCTGTGTGCCGATTTTGAACGAAATCGGGGGGGACCCCCCATTGACCCGAAATTTTGATTTTCCTGTAAAAACTTTCCTATGGGGAAAAAGTGGAATTTTCCTGCAGGACTGTGCCTGGGTAAACGAGAGCTTTCGATTGATACCCATTTTTACCCTAGCGCCCCGTTTTTGGCCGTACAAGGGCGAATTTACGGATTTTTTACGAGTTTACGGGGCTTTAAGGGCCTTAAACGTCAATGCAACGGGGACCGTTTTGGGGAAAGTTTCTCGGCTGGTGGTGGGGCACCTGTGTGCCGATTTTGAACGAAATCGGGGGGGACCCCCCATTGACCCAAAATTTTGATTTTCCCGTAAAAACTTTCCTATGGGGAAAAAGTGGAATTTTCCTGCAGGACTGTGTCTGGGTAAACGAAAGCTTTCGATTGATACCCATTTTTACTTTAGCGCCCCGTTTTTGGCCGTACAAGGGCGAATTTACGGATTTTTTACGAGTTTACGGGGCTTTAAGGGCCTTAAACGTCAATGCAACGGGGACCGTTTTGGGGAAAGTTTCTCGGCTGGTGGTGGGGCACCTGTGTGCCGATTTTGAACGAAATCGGGGGGGACCCCCCATTGACCCGAAATTTTGATTTTCCCGTAAAAACTTTCCTATGGGGAAAAAGTGGATTTTTCCTGCAGGACTGTGTCTGGGTAAACGAGAGCTTTCGATTGATACCCATTTTTACCCTAGCGCCCCGTTTTTGGCCGTACAAGGGCGAATTTACGGATTTTTTTACGAGTTTACGGGGCTTTAAGGGCCTTAAACGTCAATGCAACGGGGACCGTTTTGGGGAAAGTTTCTCGGCTGGTGGTGGGGCACCTGTGTGCCGATTTTGAACGAAATCGGGGGGGGACCCCCCATTGACCCAAAATTTTGATTTTCCCGTAAAAACTTTCCTATGGGGAAAAAGTGGAATTTTCCTGCAGGACTGTGTCTGGGTAAACGAGAGCTTTCGATTGATACCCATTTTTACCTCTTTGTGACGTCATTTCTAGGGGAAAACGGGTCATAAAGGTTTCCCTCTACCGGGGCCTTTTTCCCCCTACCGAATCTGTGCTGTGCTGAATCTGTGCTGAATCTGTGCCAACTTCCGTTACATGTTCCATCGCATGGCGCTACCTCAACCTGACACTACCAGGTATTGGTGTTTAGTTTTCATGGAAATGTAAGAAGAATTGCCCATTTTCGCTTATATTTCCATAGATGCTAAGGATCAATGCCTGATGGTGTCGGGTAACATCATGTGCTAAAACATGGCTCTTAGAGTTTGTTTTTCATGAGTTAAGCACACCACATACAAGGCATGATATCCTCTACCCCTATATCTCTTAATTTTTTACTTGCTTTTGAAGTGAGTGTGATCCACTGGGAATGCAGTGAGCCCTGGCCCCTGACCTTAGTCTGTTTACAGCCTCATCTGAATTTAGCTGACTGAAAGGGAAAATCAGCTGCCACCTCTTCTCATCATATGGCAATGGAGTCTAATGTAACCATGGTCTCTGGCGACATCTTCTCCTGCCCATCTTCACACAGCATGGCCCACTGCATCTCTGCCGACTGCAGGCTGGGCAAAGGCATCGCTCTCACATTCAAAATGAAGTTTGGCGGCGTTCCGGAGATACGCTCACAGCACTGCCGGCCGGGCGAGGTGGCGGTCCTGCGGCGCGGTGAGCGCTTCATCTATGCGCTGGTCACCAAACAAAAGTACAGCGACCGGCCGACCTACGACACACTGCGTCGGTCGCTGCACGCGCTCAAGGAGCACTGTGTGGCGCATGACGTGAAGCACTTGGCGATGCCACGCATCGGCTGCGGGCTGGACCGACTCAGCTGGGACCGAGTCCTAGCCATGATTCGCTCCGAGTTCAAGGACACGGCCGTCAAAGTTGAAATCTACTCGCTGTAGCAGGAAGGAAGTGGCCGGGAGAGGAGTGTTAAAGACACTTTCTGAGGTCTAAAGGGGACCAGTTAACTGATCTGTGATTGATAATGATCCTCGAGTGCTGTGCTGTCACAAGTGGATGACGCTAAATGGATTGTGTCGCTTCCTTGTCATGAATGGCATAATGTTGCCTTCAGAAGAGTGGGTTGAAACCAGAATTTCGTCCATTTTTTGTTGAATACATTTTCTTACGTTTTAGTGAGGCATTAATGGTTGGCCAATAGTGGTGTTAGGGAAGTTCTGAAGCCAGTGTTCTGCGATGTTCAAACAGCTTGATTGCCATTCATTCATGGGTTCATTGATTTATCATCTGCCCAAAACTGAACTAAGTTTGATTGACCTGCCGTTTGAGGTGCTTGTATTCTCTTAGCAGAGGTCAAGTTGTGACTATTGACCATTCATGCGTCGCCGTCTATGCTGGACATTGATCTGCAATGACACGATTGACGGCGACCCCGCTGCTTCCAGTATTACTAAGAGCTGTGCAATAAAACTCCGCAATGTTTTCCCGTTATGTGACCCGTGAGCTGCCAACGCGGAGCCGGAGGCTGTTGAACCACTATGCTCATGGGTCCGTTCTTCCGATATTAAAATAACTGCATTGTGCAGCAAGCGTTTTGGGAGCCAAGAACCAACGCGATTCAATCGCAGACGAGTCTTGGCAAACCAAAGGTAGCGATTCGACATTCAGCAGTCACTAGTCACCCACTCCCTCCATTGCAGCGCCTGAGCTGAAAATCATGATACAAATGTAGATTTGCACGACACTGCATTCAGCAGTAATTGAAATAGGCGCACATCATGATGCTTTTATTACACAAGAATAATTGCGCACATGCAATACTGAGTTATATTTCACATCTCACATCTTGGCATGGCAATCCCATCATCAAACAAATACGTATCTGCTAATCATCATATTCACAACACAGCCCAATATATTGTAGATGTTGAAACAGATCGTATATAGCCCATCGGTACATTGGTTGTTGGAACTTATAAATAGTATGCAACAATCAAGACCTGCGCACCAACTGAATACCGTACAGTGGATACCTAGGATATCTATACGCAACGGAAGGGTTACTGGAATCCAGGGACGAACGCAACACCGCTTGCGGCTGCGGGTAGATATTAAGCACATAAGCTCCCAGATAACGTTTGATGAAGCAAATCCTCCCGGTCTGGAAACACAGCCTACACAAAAGGATATAGCCATATACATTACACACCGGCACTCACTGGACTACTGATCCGGGGTTCAGAGCACCCGTATAGCCGTGCTTAGTCTGAGGTGGACCGTCCGATCCCAAACAGGCACGCATATTTGCCTGCGGTACATACAAAAGTCGTCCATCTACCATCGCAGCTGAAGCTAGTCGACCAACATCTAAACCGGTCTCTGCCACTTACAACCATTTGCCAAATGCACTTATCATCAGCCAATCTGTAATTTTCATGAAGGCATGCTCAGAAAGATCAAGCGAGGAATGCAAGGAAGTGATCTACTGAATAATTGTCCGAATATCATATTGACCGGAATGAATTAGGAATACGCTTGACGCATCATGAGGTGGAAAATATAGCTGATGGGAAGCTGAATCGACTTATTATAGTGTAGCAGATCAACGCAAATATCTTGATATCTTGTCTGACAACGTTAGCACTTGAGTGCACAGCATACCAAGCAAGTATAGCAACTCACTCGCCGTATACACCGGCCAGCCACTGTTCTAACACACATCAGCAGCCGGCAGCCTTCACGTCTGCCTGGATTCAACCAGTCACCACCTCAGACATACCTGAACTGAGGCTCCCCAATTGACAATCCAATCAGCCGCCTCAGACCGCGTAGCACACAGAAATGAAGCTGTAACTGTAGACAATGTTTAGGACCGCGCAGTCCTGAGAAGTACAATGGACCGGTTCCTGCCGGGAGAAGCGGACGTCCGGGCTCCGTACAGGCGACGGAGTCACTTCCCTCGGCTGACACTAAGTGCACTTGCTCCACTTGAAGCCGCCACACGCGTAGGTGACGATGCCGTAGAGGACCAGCTGGAACGGGCCAGATAGGTGGCGCTTCAGTCGGGCGGTGGGAGGCTGCACACTGCACACTGCACGTAACGTAAATGCCAAGACGACGTAACGAAGCAGTTATATAATGCATGCTATAGCAAAGGCGAATCGTATTGAAGCAACTATTACGTATGGCCAACCGCAATGTATGCCCTGTTTTCTGTTAACCATAGGTACAAAAATGTCATTGCATCAGTTTTTTCCTTTTTCGTGTCACTTTGTTTTCGAAGTTATGAAAGCATGCATTATAAATCTGATATGGTCGAAAGACATTTACGTCTTTTCGACATTAAAGCAAACCATTGTGTGGTTTTATTATAGTTCATACCGATACAAAGAACCGACTATGAGCAATTAGTGGATGAATTGATTATTGCACCGCTAAAAATGGCACTGAAATTCGACACCGATACATCAAAGCTCAGCATTATCAATAGCCTATCAAGTATCAGCTGCGTGATGACAACTTACGAGACAGACCACGGCGCAGGCCACGATGATTTTGACGTTTTTCCACCACATGGCCCTGGCCAGGTTCCGACTGGTCGACCGGAAACTGACACTCTGTCGCACAACACGGGAGAGTTAGTAGTAGTACGTTCACACGTCGGGCCGCTGTCTCCTGGTGCGCCACCGACCTCTGTTAGCAACTAAATATATTGTAAATGGATGGAGCGAACGCCAGTGATGACTGATTTGCCTAATAAAACAAAGGTGGATTGGCATCAACACACAATGGTCATAGCGTGAACAATGGCGCTTGGTAATTGGCACATGAGTTATTCAGTTAATTTGATGTGCAATGATCTTAAAAAGGAAGCCATATTGAGCATCCTAGCGTCGCTACCTGAGCTACCTGAAGTAAGAACCAAGCGATAGCTTACGTTTGCACTGAGGTTTTCCGTCTTGCTGACGAGAAGCTCTAGCCTTTCTCCTCGAGACGCGATGCTGTCTGAAAACAAAACGCAGAGAAAACACGGAACAACACTTAAATTGCTTGTGTTTACAACAGGGCTACATCGAACATTGCTTGATTTTTTTTTTTACCTAATGTTTGATAATGGAAGGAGACGCCTTCCTCTGTTTGCCTTTCAATGTATCCTTCCCTTTACGTCTTTCATTTTTGTGTACAATAAAGCGTTCAACGTACAGAAGCATGTGGGAGTACAAAGACCGCTACAACTTTAATAACCACGTCCTAAATGAACCCAATCAACCGACAAAACCACGCAGTACCGGCACTTCAAGGTCCGCGGCGTCAACGCGGCGCGGCGTTAGCTAAAAAATGACGTCATGGCGCCTGAGGGCACACAGACATGCCCGGAGGGCAGAAATTGAGTTGCTTTGTTCTAACAAATGATAAAAGAAAGAAAAAAATTGTAGACATATTCGAAATCGGAAAAATCAACTTTATATGTGGGAATATCCAACACAAACCCAGGAGCGGACTCTATTAATGTGAAAATAAAATCAGATATAACAAAAGGTGGAACTAACGACGGATAAAGACCCCGAGGCCTGCCTAACAAATCGATTAAAGACGCCGTATTAATTCCTTCCCGATGACGTCCTCTTACCGATGTTCTGCACCATGATCTCCTTCAGTTCATCCATATCTGCCTGGGCCTTGGCCAGGGTGCTCCTCGACTCCGAGTACCGCCTCTGTCAACACAACACCAGCAGTTAGCCCGTGCTACACAGGGGTGGTTGCCCTCATGACAACGAAACAAATAAAAAGACGTTCTATTGTTTATAAAATGTACCGTTTTTCGCCGTCAATTAGCTATGCGTAATGATAAAAAGAAGGATGCCATTCCCGTGACCACCCAGTGACAAGGAACAGGAATGTTTTGCGATGATATCCTATACATCAACTATTGATACGACGGGCAGCGCTATCAACATTCGATCTAGGCGTCTGGAAGCGTCCTGGAAATCGCCTCAACGAGTCACCAGTCACTGGCTAGCGTGGCCAGAGCCGGCGTGTCCCGCCAGAAAGCCGCACACAGTACCGACAACATTGAGTACCCTCACTGTAGCCAGTCTGAGATGGCTTCTGTTTCAGTGGAATGTTATACAGCAAGAATCCTGCTAATATCAAACACATTAATTCGCCCTTATCTTGAATAAGCAATGACTTTCAAACAGAAGGGAGGATGACCTCCAATTCCTAACACTGATCTCCGATTCCTCACTCAATAAAAACAGTCTAAAACTTTTCCAGATGTCGGTAGTATTATGTTTATAAACTAAGGAGCCCAAAAACAATGCTTTTTCTCACTGGACTTCTAACTACGTTCACTTGTCATTGAGCACCTCCGACATGCGTGATACGTTGACGTCCAGCAGAAAACAATGAAGTTAGCAAAAAATGTCACAACTTGTAAAGACAGTGGCAGGGACTGGAAGGTACGTCTCATTCCGACATGGTTTCCTTCTTATCCGTCCCATCGCCTTCCTTTCCTAGCCGTCGGTGTGATGAAGAATGAACCCCGTTCCGGAGTCTAGGAGCCAGTCCCGCCGCCAGTGCTTACCATCTCGCTGGCCATCAGTGGAGAGAACTCGCTGTTCATGGCGTACGGCAGAGCCGAGTGCAGCCGGTACCCGTACACGGTGGTGAAGCGCTTCTTCAGCTCCAGCAGGAAGCTGAACGCCCGCGAACGCTCGAACGCCTGCCAGCGGCCGCGCACGGGAATTGGGTTGTGTCAATAACGCACACTAGGCAAGGGTGTCGGTAAACGGCGCAGAAACGCGACGTCACGTTATATTTCTAGGGTACACCCAATTGGCTGATCGGCGACACACTTTTAGAGTTGCCGACGGGGCAGCCGAGTATCGATCTGTGCTTATCATCGTGTTGTAAAATGGTCGTCTCATCTATGTAAATAAGTAATTTACATCCATTGAATAAAATGTGGGGTTATTGCGAGTGAGAGTGAAACAAAGTATTTTATAGATTAACAGAAAATAATGAGCATGAGCAGTAGGGGTACCCATTTTTCCCGATTTTGGAAATTTGTGGGTGGGGGTGGTTTTTCCCATTATTTCGCGGCTTGTGATTCCAATGATGCCAAAAATATTAAAATCAAAGGTGGTTTAGGGGTCGCGAATTGAGATTGAAATTTGCGTATTTACCTAGAAATATGCCTATTTGACGCTGATAATAAATCGCACTAAAGGCAAAGTTTTTGTTTTGAAAGTCGGGTAGAGGGGTCATTGAGCGCTCATTTCCTCATCCAGATCGATGTGCTCCATCACGTGGTTCCGGTTAAATGCTTTACTAGCGATCATTACGATGTCGATATTGTAACATTTGGTGAAAAGCGCCGGGAATCCCGGCGACCAACAACAGGAGCAAAACATCCCGGCCCGGGATGTTTTGCCCCTGTTCTTGCTATCACTCTGGTCAGCGTGTAATCATTTTTGAAAT